CCCCCCCCCCCCCCCCCCCCCCCCCCCCCCCCCCCCCCCCCCCCCCCCTTCTGGTCGTCTTTTCCATCGTCGTCGTTGTCCTCCTCCAAGGGGCCCGAACCCAACCAATCCAGTCTCTTCGCGTCCTCCGGCCCCATTATGCTCGCGTCGTGCCCGAAGACGATGCCGTAGGATGTCCAGTCTGGGATGTACTTCGGGTGCTCTCCTAAGGTGGCGTTCGTTTTCCCTAGCCTCTCCGTGACGACGTTTGTGGCTTGGATGACTGATCAGCGATGCATGGACGCGACGAGAGTGGGCTTCGAGACCAGCTTCGCAAAGTAAAAGGCTTCGTAGTGGCTACGCAGATCGTCTCCTGCCATGCGCATCAACCACATGCCGGCCGCCAACAAAAGCCTGAAGCAACCATCAACCCTTGAGAGACGGTCGTGTGAGATGAAGCCGCCGTCGACGTTCGCACCCATTTGCACCGCGGCGCAGAATGCATGCGTGATGCATATGACGGTGGACTCCTGGTACGCCGCCATGTCGTCGTCCTCCGATGTGTCCTCGATGTTCGTGCCCGTGAACCGCAGTGGCAAGTCCATGGACAGGTCAATTGTCTGCGCGCAAACGACCACACTCACGACGTTGCTCCACTCCTCGTCGTACCACATGGCACGCGCAATGCCCGTCGCCACCGACTCCAACGCGTACTGGAAAGCGAGATTGTATCCTCGGGGGCAGTTCCTGGACTTGAAGATCCAGCCTTGCAAGACGGGCAGAGCAATATTCTCCATTGCCGCCACACGGGAGATCACCTGCGGCAGTTGTGCGGGTTCGACAATCCTTGTTAGCTTCGTGGAGGATTTTCGCATGACGACGCTCTGAGGGACGACAAGCGCTTGCAGACCGCTGACGATGGCGACAGAGTACTCCCGTGTTTCGTGGACGATGTTATACAGTCTTCCCCCCTCCCCCGTTGTCCAGAACACTTTGTCATCAACCTACAGTCGGGCATGGTCGATCAGAACTTTCGCCATGCCTCCCCTTTGTACCCGGCTTAAAAGGGGGTCGTCCATCTCCCGATCACCTTTGTTCTCGCCACGTGCCACCTCCCGCTCCACAACTACAAGCTCCTCTCTCGCTTTCGACACGGGTGCCATATTGCCTGAAGTTCCCGCACCCGCAGCAACGACCCCCCCCCCCCCCCCAGCCGCGCTTCTTGTTGGACTTCCCCCCCTCCGTCATGTTTTATTGAGCCTCCCTCATCAACCGTGTTGAGCGGACGTGACTGAGATGGCGTGGAGGCCAGCCCACTCTGAGGTGGCCTTTCGTTAGTTGCGCCGCGTGCCCTGATTGTCGTAGTCGTGGCACCGTGCATCACAGCATTGCGCTGTGGACAGCTTTCCAAGGGCTCGTCATCCTCACCGCCGACGTCGACAACAACCTCCTTCGCCTTGGGGTTATAGCGGGCACGCATGTGTTGCGTCTCCAGTGGAGGCGTCAGCAATCTCCTCGCAATGCTCTGATCTGATGATCGTTGGCGACCACTCCCCGGAAGTGCCGACACGGTGTCGTTTGCTCCCTCTTCCTCCGTCGTGAAGACGTTGTCGTCGTCGCCTTCGTCAGCTGTTGCCCAAGTTTGTGACCGTCAAGGAGGCACGCTTCCTGATGCTTCGTCCGAACATAGCCTCTTCGCCTTCAAGTTGGGGACATGTCGTTGACCCCTTTCCTGCCCATGAGTGTCCGCAGGGACGATATCCCGCTTCTTACCCCGGCCGCCGGCTCGCGCAGACATGCTTCGTGCTTTCCTCTCCAGGCGAGTTTGGCGGTCGGATTGGATAAGCGGGAACACAAGGTCGACCGCCGATGGGAGTCCTGCTTGCGAGAACAGCATCTCGTGTAAGGATCACTCGTGGTAACGGCTGCATTCACAACGACGAAGAAGAAGCGCCCTCGCCGCATAGAGGAGCACGACGTCCACGTGTGCGAGAGGAGGAGAACGACCCCAGTAAGACTGCTCCGCGGCGAGAAGAGGACAAGAGAGATGGCATCGAACCTTCCAAGGGCCAGGAGTCCCGAGACAGATCCACGGCGACAAGGAGAGAGTGTTCCACCTCAGATCAGTCCGAAGTCCCTGACTGTGTCGTCTATCGACGTGTCGACAGAGCTCCGCGAGGTGAACGCGAGCAGAATGACGGCGCAAAATCTCCACTTGGTGAGAAGGCCAGAAGATCCACGACGATGATCGTCGACGACACTGAAGAAGTCCCCGAAGAGGAGCCATGAGATGTCCGTGGCGAGCAAGCGATAGCGGTCCGGTGCGAGGAGGACAAAAGTTATAGGGCGTCCCTCGTGGTTGTGCTCGATGTGCAGCACGTGCGTCGGCCTTCTGTGTTGGAGACGCTACAAGCGGATGACCTTTATGCAGGGCGGGGCGCAGACGCCTCGATAAGACGGAGCAGATGGACGGACCCCAAGGTCGCTTCTTCGCCTAGCGGGATCGTTGACAGCGACACGTGTGACAGCAACATTCCAGACCGCATTTGCGCACCCACCCTTCATATGTTGGCACTGCCACCCTCCCCAAGCCGCCAACAGACCCTTTGACACCCCTGCCG